GCATTCCTTGGCAGAAATTCCCTGAAGGCAGGTGAGCCACCATTTCCTGTTATGGATCCAGGTTCCTCTGGAAAGTCAGCAACATTCATTTGCTGTTTCTGTTTGTCTTCTAACTGGCTACACTCTAATTAAAGATCCCAATATTGTTTCTCTGGATGAGCTTGGGGCAGAGAGTGTGCCCCGATTTGCACCACAGTTGATGCTAAGCCTCTTGGCCTGTTTTTTTTTTCTTAGACTTTCACTCCTCTTCTTTATTTAGTTGTTATGATTCATGCTGTTGCCTTTGCTTTAGATACCCTCAGCCCTGTCAATCAGACCACCCTCTTCCTTCTTTTCAAGACCTGTCTTCCACTTAGTTTTGCTCAACTCTGCAATTGGTTGGGGTTGAGCTTCTCAGACTTTTCATATCTCATTGGGCATGACATATACAAAGAGCTGTAGGGAATAAAAAGGGTCAACACTGAAAGTATCTGTCCCTTTAGTAATCATTTGAATGATGTATGGATGTTTTCCAGCTTTGCTACTAAAGAAAGGGCAAATTAAGTTTCTGTCTGACAGAGTAGAGCTTGCCCTCTGCCAGTAGACATATAGCAGCACCAGGAGACATTTTTGGTTGTCACATCTGGTGGAAAGCTGATGTTCATGGCTCTTAGGCAGAAACCCATGCTTGCCTGTAGACACTCTCCAAGACACAGGACAGCTGCCCCCAAATAGAATCATTTGGTTTAAAATTTCAATAGCATTCAAGTTGAGAGTTCTCACTATAGATGACAAAATATGTTCCTTTATTTTGACTTCTCATTATTTTGACTTCTGTTATAGTAATATATATATATATAAATATATAAATAAATTAATGTTCTGTATTGATATAGCATTAACAATGCCAACATCAATTTTAATGTATTAAAATTATTTATTATTTACTAACATTTGTTATTAACAGTTCTTATACACCAGGAAAATGTATTAATGGGGAAGTGGGAATGGTGGCATAAACCCATCTTCTCAGCTCTTGGGATGGAAGCAGAGAGTCTGAGGGAGTTCAAGGTCATTCTAAGCTACGTAATAAGTTCAGGCTGACCTGTGGGTACATGGGACTCCATCTCAGATAAACAACAACCCTCCAAACTAAAAATCAAAATGTCCCTTCAACAAAAATAACAACAAGCCCTAAATAAATAAATTCATGAGTTGAATCACCATAGTAATCCTTTTATTTATTTTGCCATACTGGAACTGAACACAGGGCCTTAAGCATGCTAGACAAATGCTCCAAATTATACTTCTAGGTGACCATTCCCAGTCACGTACACTAGAATTCATACCACAGTTTAAATGATATCTTTAAATATTACTCTTGCCTACTTCTCATTCTGTGAATATCTTCCAATTCTCCCCATATGCATAGAGGAGAGGTTGGACTAAGCCAATGAGCAGGGACCTTGAGGGTTTCCAAGGTTCCTGTTAGGCGTTCTTGCTGTTGAGGACTTTGGAGACCTGGAGCAATCCTCAGGTCCACTCAGAAATGACTTCTATATTATTCTGTTGGGTCTTCCTTTCCAAGGGCTGCTGGAGGTTGTCTGCCTTAGATGTGAGCTAGAGAAACCTTGGTTACTGTATTGAGCCCAAGAAGAGGGAGTTGCTACAGACAGCTCCTGTCCAGGGTAAATACTAACAGGAGAAGGGGAAAACAGCCTGAGATGCAATAAAGCTTGTTATTAAAATGCTCCTTTTCTTGCAGATGGGAGGCACTTTTAGGATCTCCACAGGATGAACAGGCTGGGACAGGTACTACAGACCGTGGGCAAGTTGGCCTCATTCATCCATCTGCAGGAGCTGGGGGTGGAGACATTGTATAGTTTCTGGGGTCTTTCATGTTTCCTTTCCCAGAAGTGGTTGACTCTAACAAACCGTTCAGGAGGAACATCCCTCTAATGTGTTTTTGTAAGGGAGGACTTCCTGGGGCGGGGGGGTCACATGCATCAGCTGCCTCTGTTCATTGTGCAGAGGCCTGCAGCCATCTGGACCACCCAGGGCCAGTGTTTTCCTAAGAAGGGCAGGATGAAGGACAGGGGATTGACACCTCAGCCCCAAGGCGATGACCAGATGGCAAAATGCTTGTTTTCACTGGATGATTCAGAGCAACTGAATCAGCCCAGGACAGCCCGTGTGATTTTGTCTTCAGCACCCAGCTTTTTCCTATGCGAAGACAGTGGTCTCTTCTCTCTCCTTAGTCAGCAGCAAGGTGACTCAGATGAGGACAATATGAAGCAGTGTCCACCGTGTCCATGGCATGGTCAAGAGATTCTGAAAGCTGAGCCTGGTGCCTGCACCTCACTGAGGAGAAGCCCTGCTGTGGAGCAACGGGCAGAGGAAGGTGCTGGAAGCAAGCTTGGTGTTGTTGCTGGACCAGCCGCCCAGTGTCTCAGGCTTTACAAAACAATGTGCTAATGGCTACCTTGTCTGATGAAATGAATTATAGAAAGGAGAGTCTGAATGGATTTCCTCTCCCATGACTGTTCCTTTAATCTCAGTAGCAACCCCCGACATGTCTCAGGTGTGAAATGCAAAACCTTGAAGGCACAGAATGCGGATAGTCCTAAAACTGAAACAATTCATCTATTAATACATCAGAATAGGTGTGCATGCATGTGTATGTGTGTGCAGCGATCTATGCTTCTTCACTCTACTGGCTCCCAGCCCCCTCTGCCTGGCAGCTCACCGCTCTTTATGCATATGCTTCCTGACAGTCTAACTTGATTCAGCAAAGAAATAAATAGAAAAAGCCTCACTCATAGGAGTGTCTCAGTAATAAATACTTAATTTTAAACATTCTTTCTTAAAGTTGTTCTTTCAGCTTACATACACAGACACAGACACACGGACACACACAGACAGACACACACACACACACACACACACACACACACACACACACACACACACACACACACACCTCTTCCAAAGAACAGAGGACAGACACTCTGGTCCATCCTTCACTTCCCCCTCATACACACTACTTTGTAGCAGTGAATTCCAAGGCCAGCAGAGGGCACCAGAGCACAAGGGACAGGCTGCAATATAAGCCTCTTTCTAGTTTGCCCTGGTCCATGGACTCCAGGCAGGCTCTCAGGTCCACGTGACCTAACTCTTTGCTTCAGCTTCCACTTTTCAGATATTATTTTTCTTTCTTCTTCTTTTTTTTTTGGTTTTTCTAGACAAGGTTTTTCTGCATAGTCGTGGCTGTCCTAGAACTTGCTCTGCAGACCAAGCTGGCCTTGAAATCACAAGAGATCCGCCTGCCTCTGCCTCCCAAGTGCTGGGATGGAAGGCGTGTGCCACCACTGCCCAGTACCTTTTTTCAGGTATTTAATCTGATGGATTTGTCACTTTTCTGTTTGCTGTGACAAACTACTTTACAAAAACATTGAAATTATTTTGGCCTGTAGTTTGAGGGCAGAGTCGGCAGCAGCCTGGGGTAGCTCGTGACATTGGTGATGAGGCTCAGCTGACCTCGTCTCTTTTCCATTTCATTTGGTCTGGGACCTAAGACCAGGATAAATGCCACCCACACTCAGAATGGGTTCTTGGACGCCAATTAAATCTTTTTGGAAACATGCTTAAAGACAAACCTCTGGATTAACAGTGAAGGTTAATCCCTGAGCCTGAAGGAAGGTTGGCAAAGACAGAGATTGGATATTAATAAGTTCAGTTTCCTGATCTGAAAATTGGAAATGACAATGTTGCTTGTCATTCATGGTAGACTTTTTTATGTGTTTAAATCCCTTTGATGATGGACGAAACAGTTGTCCATCGGATGATCATGGTTATGGAGATCTGTGAGGTGGCTCCTGGGCTTACCCCAACTTGACATAGGATGGGACTGAGACACAGTGATCCATGATGCTGAGATAACCATAGGGCAACGTGAGGATAAAAGGAAGAACATATGTATTTGATAAATAGGAGCGGTCACTACATGTATCCAAGAGATTTGTTTCACAACTAGGAAGGTTCACAGCATGACTTGATGTTAGGGCTTATTTATTTATTTATTTATTTATTTATTTATTTATTGATTGATTGATTGCACATGCACGTGTGTTTTCATATGTGTGGGTCTGTATGTGTATGAGGGTACATATATACATATGTGCGTGTCGGGGGGCCAAAGTTGATGTCAGCTGTCTTTTTCTCCACTTATTTATTGAGACAGAATCTCCCACTGAACCTGGAACTTGATGATTCTGTCTTGACTGGCTAGCCAGATAATCCTAGGATCCGATTTCTATTTCCCAAGTTCCAGGCTTACAGGTGGTTCTCATGCCTTCTCTGCTTTTATGTAGGTTCTGGAGATCAGAACTCTGCTCCTCATTCTTGCATGGCAACTGTTTTGTCCCTCAGCCATCTTTCCAGCCTTGAACAGTGAACTTGAGACCTCCTGCCTTGGCATCCTGAGTTTCAGGATTACAGGCCTGTGCCACTAGGCCCAGGTCTGCTGAAGTTTCTTGGTGGTCCATCTTATAAACTCAGTGAACTTGGGCTCATTGTATTCCTTCTCTGTGCCTCAGTTTCTTCCTCTGTAAAACAGAGCTAACAATAGCAACCACCTCATAATGTGAAACTTGAAAACTTAACATTTAGCTCCCAAATAGGGCCAGTTTGGCTTTGAAGGGAACATTTAGCAATGCCAGGACGTTTTTGGCTGTGAGAACTGGCAGAAGGTTCTATTGGCATGTAGCGGTAGAAGTCAAGGGTGTTACCAAATATCTCCCAAGGCTTTGCACTAGCTTCTCCTCCAGAGAATGGCCCATTCCTAAAGGCCAATGGTGTTCAGGTTGAGAAATTTTCCAAGAGTTGAGAGAAAATGTCTAGCTTGCAAGAGGGACAGGTCAGATTAAATTGGTATGATTTCCCCGTCCCTTCAAAGTCTATAAGCTGTCATTTAATGATAAGCATGGCTGTAACTGGCCTCTCTCTGTTTCTCTCTTTTATAGATCATGGCTCTTGCCTGATGAGTACACCCCGTCCCCAACTGCTGTGACCACACCCTGGATCTGGATCTCTACTTGGATCTTCCATCAGGATCCCCTCTCTTCACAGCCACAGCAATTCTTATATCTCTTCTCAGACTCAACGTCTCTGTGAAAGCTCCCCAGTGATCATGCCTCGTGTTTTAGTCAACTGTCTGCCACTATGACAAAATGGCAGAGGTCATCAATCTATAAATAGGCAAGATTTTGGCTTCTGGTTGGATCCACAGGTTTCCTGGATGCCTGATCATCATTTTGCATCTGCAGCAGCACAGTTGATCATGGGGGGAAACTTGTGATTGGAGGCAACCTGTCCTTTTCACATTAGCCAGGAAACAGAGAGACAGGAAGAAGTCAGAGTCCAGTATCTCTTATAAAGATACTCCTCCAAAGACTTAACTTCTTTCTAGACCCCACTCTTAAAGCTCCCACCTCCTCTAAATAGCATCATAGGTGAGTGACCAAGCCTTTACCATGGGGCCGTTGGGGCCATTTTTCTAATTTAAATGATAAGACCCAGGGACCCATATGGCTCTTTGTACAAATCACTCCAATGACAGTTCTAAACACATGCTTTTGCATTCAGTTCTTGTTCTTCCTGCAGAATCCTGGCAACTCCAGTGGGAATTTTCTCCGGCCCAGGCACTGTGCTAGGCTCAGGGCCCACAACATTTTCCAAGCCACAATCCTATCTGTATACTGGCTTACCTGTCTTATGTTGCAGATGCTCATTTGATCCCAATGAACTTTGTGATGCGATGGAATGGATTTTAGAGTCTGGTGTATTGGAGGGTTCAATCCAAGCTCTGACTCTTTGAGCCTGTGCCTTTTCACATGGCTATTCATTTTCCTCTCAACATTGTCATACATGTGACTAGGGATGGATTTCCAGGGGAGCGGACTGAATACCTAGCTACTGCCTCTGAAGATGCAGGGTCTTTTCTGTCCTTCTTATGAGTGTGTTCTACAGCGGCCCATCACTGTTCTGCCTCAGTGGGTTCCCCCACACGTTGTCTGTCACTTTCACGTCTCTCCAGGGCCCAGCCTGGTCCTGATGAGCACTGGTCCCCTGTTGCTCAGAATTCTGTTAAGGTTGCACATTCATGGTGCTGAGCCAGTGATGTGGCTCTTAAGTAGAATTCCAGGAACAGCAAAGTCCTTCGTGGATCAGAGCTTGGCAAAGCCCGTGTTCCCTGTCCCTTCTCTCCTGGATGTGCAGAGTACATTCTGAGCCTGCCAAGGAGATCCCTTCTGGGTTGTTTCCACACAGCTGGGGGTAAGAAGAACACCCCCCAACCCCAATTCTTAATGTACAGCACAGATGACACATGTTTTAACTTACAGCATGTGTTGTCTGCTTCGCTGAGTCAAAAAACATGTGAGTGTTTGGGGTCAAGCCATTCACTAGATACGACGTTTACAAGGCAGGGGGCTCCATGGGAGAGGATCAAAAGGCACCATATGGCAAGGAGCCAGAGGTGACAATGTTCTTTATTTCGGATGGCGGCATCAATGGCTAGTGGGTGGCGCAGGCAAGTTGTTCTCCCTTTCCGGGCCCTCAGAGGCAATTTTGCATAGAGGTTGGAAGTAGCAATCTGCATCTGTTGCACGGCTTTGAGCAAGTTATGTCATCTCTCAGAGCCGGAGTTCCTTCATTTGTAAACTCTAGGATAGTTCAGTGAGGGTTCTTCAGGGGAATGAGATTGATGGAATGAATATGTATTAGGAAAAGATTTAGTAGATTGGCTTACACGGTGCAGCCTGGGTAGTTCGATTATGGCTGGCTTCACACCGGGGAGGTTGAGAACTTGGACTGTGTTTGGTTCCTGAGGCTGGAGGCCTCAGCAGTTCCAGGCGGGGACTGAAGGGCTGGAGAGTTCCTGGGGAGCCACTGATCTAGAGTCCACAGGGGAAGGCTGAAGAAGCTGGGTTGTGAAGTCAGTGAACAACATCCGACCGAGGCAGTGACAGGGTAGATGAACCCACAGCAAGACACATACAGGGCAGACGAGCTTGCCAGCAGGATGAGAAGGAATATGAAGGCAGTCAAGCAAAAACCAAAAGCTTTTTCTTTGAGACCCCCCCCCCATTTATCTGGCTGCCACAGGAAGGTGGCTGTCCACAATTAGAGGAGCAGGGATCTTTCTATTTCACATAACTTCATCAAGAAAACCCTTTTCCAGTGTGTCCAGTGGATTGTTACTTGATTCCAGACCGAGTCAAGTTGACAAACAAGATTAACCATCACAGAGGGCAGTATAACTACAGACTTGGGGGAATGGGTAGGGACAGTGCTCACAGCACTTTGAGCACAGTGTAGCTGGCACTGTGGTACCCTAGTTACTTCACTCACAGCACCACGGAACCTGCTTGCCGGTACACTGAAAGCTGTGATTCTGAGAGTGAACCCTGGGTGCTCTGAGTATAAGGCAGGATAGAAGCTTAGAAGTGCCAGGGTTTTGATGTTCATGAGCTCCCCTTAACACTGTGGGGCAAGGGTTTGGGTAGTCTCCTCATGCCTCCAGGAGACAATCCTAAAATATGTTTCATCTTATGTTTCACAGGTTCTTAGTATAGTTGACCCCGGTGGCTTGTCGTGATAATATGTCCATCAACATGCTCTCATTAGCCTACTTCTCTTTTGAATCCTTTTTTCTCACAGTGGCCCCCTGAGATTACATCCTAAGTATACTTTATATCTAAATCCTTGCCTCAGGTTCTTCATTTGAGAAATCAGAAGCCAGGGATGATATAGGGGAGACCTTCATTTAGAATCCTAGCTGAGTTTTTCCTAAATTATGAACCCACAAAACCATGGATGTGATAAAGTATTTGCAATGACCTCCTGGGTTTGATTATTATTAACTTTTGCTTTTTAATGATGGGGTCTTATGTAGTCCAGGCTAGCATTAAACTGACTTTGTAGCCAATGATGAACTCTAATTTCCAACCTTTCTGTCTCAATTTCCAGAGTTCTAAGATAACAGGTATGTGGATTTCTTATGAAATCCTGGAAATCAAACCCTTTGTGTATGCAAGGGAAGCACTATGCTAATTAAGCTACACCCCCAGCTTCTGAGGTTTTGATTATTATTTTTAAAATTTTATGTAATATGTCTGGTGTGTGTGTGTGTGTGTGTGTGTGTGTGTGTGTGTGTGTGTGTGTGTGTCCATATGCTTAAACAGGCCTGGACATGCCACAGTGTTCATGTAGAGATCAAAAGACACCCTTGGGTCAGTCTTTACCCTCACCCTTGTTTTGAGGTAGGGTTTCTCTTGTTTCTGTTTCTACATTGTGTACTCTAGGCTAGCTGGCCTACAAGCTTCTGGGAGATCCTTCTGTCTCTACTTCCCATTTTGCCCTAGGAATCCTGGGATTGTAGACATGTACCATCATGCCTAGCTTTTACCTGGTTATAGAGACTCAAAATAGTCATCAGGCTTATTCTCTAAGAGTTTTTATGCACTGAGTTTTGAGATGACTTATTTTGTGTTGGTACAGAAACATAAAAAGAGGAAGAAATATATAGACTCAAATATAGACTCAGAGTCACCAACATAGGAACAGTTAATTTATGTAAAGTATAGATCCTTGATGTAGTATGTGTGAGGGCAGGGGCAATTGAACAACATGACATCAAACAAACAATTCACTCCATTCTTTAGTCTACTGAAGCAGTAGTAACAATGGTGATATGGGTGGCACATTGCTCTCCCTCTTTGTCACACTGGATATGATTCTTAGCATTCAAAATTGTAGATACCATGCCTGTAAAAGCAAGCTAGTCCTTTCACCTAGTACCAGAACAGTAAAATACTAATTTGTTCTTAAGTAAGATGTAATACGATAGTGTTGAGTTTCCTGGAAGGTGCTATGTTTATTCCCAGTGTGAAATTTTACAAAGGGAATTCTAACAAGAACTTTTTGTGTCTAGTCCACTAGGCTACCCTGCATACTTCAGGGCCTTAATAGGAGTTACTAAATGATAGTATTATTATATACTAATACTAGTATACTATAGTATATTATACTATATATAATTTATATAATAATTATAGTATTATAATATACTAATACTAGTAATACTATCACTAAACAATCTTTTATACAAGATTATTCCTGTGTATTATTGTCTTACAATATATACTATTCTTATCCGTTAATGACAAATTTTAGCTGGCTGTGGTTTTCTATTCTATCAAGCCATCACATGAACTAGCTAATATCCAGAGAGTCTTGTGAATCAAGTGTTTCTTTGTATCACTCTTAATACTGTTATACAAACATTATGGAAACATCTTGGTATTATAAGCCTCTTACTCCTTTGGTGAATGTCTGTGTAAGATCAGAAGATGCAGTGTTGATGTTGAACTCATTGGTACAGAAACACCTTCTGTCCACACCAACAGTTTACTTTGATGAGATTCTCCCAGGTGCTGTAGGTGCATTATGTCATATGGCCAATGGTACTTGTTTGATAGCATTTTAAAATGCATTTCTTTAAAGTTCAGTCTGTTCTGTGTAGTAGTCATTAAGTTAAAAATGTATTATTATACATCTCTGAACCTGAGCAAATGGTGAGGGTCTGGAGAGTGGTCCATGGTACTGTATGAGGCTTCCTATGTCAATTGCAGTGATATAGGTGCCTTCTTTCTTTTATTGAAAATAATGTTTTTGTCAGACAAAAAATAGATTTTTGTCCAATTACAGTTTTCCTTCCCTCTACTCTTCCCAGGTCCTCCCACCTCCCTTCCCATCCATTCCAGTTATTTGAGTTCTTTATATGTTTTGTATATTAGCTCTCTATCATATGTGCAGTTGGTAAAACTCTTTCCCCATTCAGTAGGCTGCTGCTTTATCTGAATGGTGATGTCCTTTCATGTACAGAAGCTTTTCAGTTCCATGAGCCCATTTATTAATTATTGATCTTAGTGCCTGCGCTTTTGGTGTTCTGTTCAGAAAGTTCTCTTCTGTGCCAATGAGTTCAAGTCTATTCCCTTACTTTCTCTTCTATCAGATTCAGTGTATCTGGTTTTCTGCTGAGGTCTTCGATCCATTTGGAATTGAGTTTTGTGTGGGATAGTAAAATATGGATATATTTTAATTCTTCTACATACAACCATCCAGTTTGATCAGTACCATTTGTTGAAGATTCTGTTCCCCTTCCCCCAGCATTTCTGGAATCTTTATCAAAAATCAGATGTTCATAGGCTTGTAAATTTATGCCTGGATATTCAATTCAATTTCATTGATCAACATGTCTGTTTTTGTTCCAATACCATGTTGTTTTTGGTGATACCTGAAGAAATTCTTTCATTTTTCAGGATTGTTTTAGCTATCCTTTTGTGTGTGTGTGTGTGTGTGTGTGTGTGTGTGTGTGTGTGTGTGTGTATGTATGTGTTTCCATATGAAGATGAAAATGTCCTTTTAAGATCTGTGAATAGTTGTGTTGGAATTTTGATGGGGATCACATTAATTCTGTATATTGCTTTTGGTAGGATGAGCTTTGTTTTTACTATATTAATCAATATAGGTACCTTCTTAATCTGTCTTTCTGAGTCATTCATTAACTTATTAATCAAACATATATTTGTTGAGCTCATGCATCTGGTACTATGCAAATGTTAGGCTAGGTAAGATGTTAGGGATTGAGAGAGGCAGCTGATTCTCAGAGAGGTAGCTTAAAATTTTCAAATGCTGACATTTCAGCAAATCCTCAGGCTGCTTGCCACTCCTTGGTTAAGAATGAACCAGAAGA